CCATCTGACAGCCAGAGGCAGTCTTCTCCAAAATAACCATGGATAGTCTAGGAAAGGGGAGTTAATGAAGCAGCAATTAAGTTAATTAAATGAAACTCAATTAAACCCCTAATCTTTCTTATTATTCAGGTAGAACAACCCTTCTGAACCAGGCAGGGTTGATGCTAAGAGTATCACTGATGTGGGAGAAAGGATCAGCACAGGAATGACTGAACAAGTTCAGTTTAGACCATTGAATCTGCTCCCGTAAGAGACATGTTTGCTGCTCTTCATGTTAGATGTGGGACCTGAGAAATGAAGCACTCCAATATACTTTTAACTCCAGATTTTAAGGGGCCTTTGCAGGTTAATATAATCTGAAATTATAACTTCTTTGCGTTGTGGTTTTCTCCTTTGGTGATGTACATATTACACTATAATCTCCTACTCAAGTGTGCAGGATAAAATTATGCAGCCACTGCTCCCCTGTGGCTCTTACTTGAACAAACTATGCATTATGTCACCATGATGAACTTACATGCACAAAATTATGCTGAGCATGATTTTTTGGGGGATTTATACCCAAAACACATACTCAGCATCTAAACACTAGGGAAGTCTCCATGAATCCTCTCAAATCCTTCAGCCTCAGAAGTCCTTCATCACCTCTGTCAGTAAAATCTCCAGGTACTGGGGATATCTGTGGTGAGTTTGAGTCCCAGCTCCCACACTGCAGAAGCCTTCCTGCTGCCAAGGTCTCAGCACAACTCTCAAACAAAGCATCAATCTGGACATGTGGACTGCCAGGTCTTGGTTCTACCAGATATCCCTGCTTATTCATGGCCTCGTAAACACAGCTAGAGATGATCAGGGGAAATTTATAATTTTTGTGTGGTAGGTTGACTATCCTCTTGACATAGCTGCTCAGAAGTCCCTGCTGTGCCTGTTCAGAAGAGAAGCTGAGTGTCCAATATCCCAGTCTCAGGTGGGAAAGACACCTCAGCATATCCCAAGAGCTTTGGTCTCATGATGGGGGCCTATTTTTGTGTGCTTATCCTAATCACTGAGCTGCCCTTTCTCCTATGCCTATCACTGGCAGTATAAAGGCCATAGCTGCCAGGTAAAAGTGGTATAACTGACTTCAGACACCTTTGAGAAATGGGCTGGTAGATTCGACAGTCTGCTGCAAATGCAGGGACATCAAGATGAAAAACAGCTGGCAAAATATCTATCAGCTCAGTAGTTCAGTGTTAGGTGTTTCAATCTAACACAGTACGTGCTGTTTCATTACTCCAAATGTGTTAAGTGGCCTAGTACTTCAGATTATGCCAAGGACTTGCCAGGCAGAACACTGAAATATCAAAAGATAAATCTATGTACTCTCTATACTGAAAAATGTGCTTTGTTCTTCTCTGTATCATGTTATCTGTGAGTTGACTGGTTATATCCATGAGAAATCCAGAAACATAAATAATATTCTGATAATCTTATATTAATCTGAAGTATATCCCTTCCCCAAATAAAATGAATGTGTAAGCCTGCACAGCAATCCCTTCCTGCATTATACTACAAGGAATTCCAGTATAATAGAAGCAGTCATTAAGCCATTTGTTTCATATTGGGATTGTTTAGCCTGGAGAAAAAGGGGTTCAGGAGAGACCTTATCATGCTCTACAACTACATGAAAGGAGGTTGTATCCAGGTGAGAGTCAGTCTCTTTTCCCAGGTAGAAGTCACAGGACAAGAGGAAATGGCCTCAAATTGCATCAGGGGAGTTTTAGATTAGGTAATAGGAAAAATTCCCTCACTGAAATGCTTATCAGGCATTGGAACAGCCTTGTCCAGGAAAATGTTTGAGACCCCATCTCTGGGAGTGTTCAAAAAAGGTGTGGATGTGGCACCTGGGGACACGGTTTAGTGGTATTAGGTTAACAGTGGGACTCAGTGATCTAGTTGATTTCTTCCAATCTTCACAATTCTATGATTCTCTACTAGTTTTGCCTTTCTGCTAAGGAAAAAAATCTCTGGCTATCAAAGATATGTGTCTTAGAAAAGAGCCTTCTTTTCTAAGTGAAGTGGTCACAAAAAGGGAGACTCCAAATAAAAAGTTCTCTCTTGCAGAACAGGAAGAAAAAATAGATGAACTTAAAAAGCTGTCTGGGCAAAGAGCAGAAAGAATCAAAAGGGTCAAAATCCCCATGGGACATAAGGGAAATACCAGTGTATTTATAAAAAAAGGCCCCACTAGCTCTAATGTTCCCACACAAGTAAATCACAAGAGACAAGCTGGGCACTTATTTACATGGGAGCTTCAGAATGAGACCAGCCTCATGTGACCCAAGGGTTATGAGTAATGGGCCCAGAAAATAGCAGAGAAAAATCAGTGTGATCTGGGGCATTTGATCTGAAATCCTTCCTCTCTGCAGAAGTTGCAATTAATAGCAAGTGGAGTAAATCAGCTTCCTGACTCTCAGAGCATGATGATGGAGGTTCTTTCTTTTCAGTGGGTGGGGGCTGGTGGCTGCTGAGAGTGGATGCCGTGAGCTGCTTCCATCTCCTGCTGCCTGGCTGCAGATGTCCCTCCCAATATTTGCCTGTTCTTTCACCACCGAGTTGTCTGCCTGGTGCAAAGTTCACTGAATCACAGGGATGTGTGAGTTGCATGAGTTGTAAAGAAGGGGCAAGGTGGGTACTGGTCAACAGTCAGATTTTGTAAAAGAGAATTATGCTGTAGAGATGGGGTTGGTAGGTCCAGCAGGCTCTGCTCAGGAGGGTGTAGGCTGACTTCTAGTTTGTATGCTCTGAAAGCAGAGGTAAGATCTGTGAATGCAGAGGGAGCTGGACTATGGCTTAAAGATTTAACCAGGACAGACAGCAACTGAGCTGAGGTCAGCCTCTTAGGAAAGTGTCCTCGACTGCATAGGGGTGTTTGCAGGCTGGGCTCATATTTTTGTTTCAGGTCATGAGCAACATCTAAAAGCCATGATAGTGTACAGTATTGCTTGTCTAGGCAGAGGTCTGAAACACCTGAGTGCCAGTACAGCAGTTATGGTGAAGAAATCCCTGGGCAAGGAGGCTGGGTTAGGCTGAGCTTCGGATGAGAAGAAAACACTGGTTTCATGTAGTTTTTCAAACAGCAGTTGGCAACTTGCTTTTCATCAGCTCCTGAGCAACTCCCATGCCAAGGCTTCCCTGTTGTCCCTGGCAGATGGAAGGCTGTAGGCCTGGTCTGTGCCTTTGGGGCTGCACACACAGCTCTGTGGAGGCTGGGATCATGTGCTGCCAACGCCACCTCCCTTGAGGGTGGCACTCAAGCAGCACTTGTCAAGAATTCCTGAAATAACGGATGGATTAACACAGAAAGCCAAGGCAAGTCAGTGCAGCTCAGGTTTTGTTGCTCCTGCACCATCCATCTCTCCCACACTCATTCTTCTGGGGACTGAAAATACTCTGCACTCACAGGAACCAATTCCTTACAGCCAGGTCCTTCAACAGGACTAAGAGCCCTTCCTGAGAAAACACCCACTTACAGCAAGTTATCTATCACCTCTTCAAAACACTTGGCTGCATTATCTGCACCAAGGAGCAGTCACATGCTGAATGGTAGTGCTGAACAGAAAGGCTTCCTTCTGGGAGTGTCCCATCCTCAATTGTGTTCTCTTGCATAGATATAAAAACAACAAATTCAATCCTTCAATAATTTATTTCTTTATACCAGAGAAAGTTTTTCAATTATACATTTAAGTTTGTAACTTTCAACATAGAGTAAATATATGTAAAAAAAAAATCCTAGCTGTGCAAATTTCAAATTGCATTGTTTCAAATAATATAAATATTTTAACAAAACATAAGTTCACATTAAGGTTCACAAAATATATAAAATTTAACAGAAATAAGTGATGAGTTATTTATTTTTTTTTTCTTTTTAGAAACTATTTTTTTTAGTAACTAGAGAAAGATTCTAAACTCAAGAAGCAAGTTAGAAGAGATATCACCTCCAAAATCATAGCAGCAAAACAGATGCTGAAAACTTAAACAGTGTAAAAGGAGAAGAGAGAAGCAGGTAACAGGCACAGTGGTAAAGCTGAGGTTACTAAAGAAAGTACTGCAGATTGAGAAGTGGGTACATAAACTTCAGGAGTAAAATCTCAGCCCTGAAGAATTCTTGTTACTGAACTCCCAGCTGTTTGCGTGGTAACAGAATCACATTAAGGATGACAGAAAGTGTGACAGAAATGGAGAGAGAGGGTATGAAGAGCACACACATACTCCTGACATTTGCAGTGCAAGAGAGACAAGAGTCAATCTTGTTTCAGAAGTGAAGACAAAAGGCTTTTGAGTTTTTTTGTCTGTTGGAGGTAATTCCTTCCACACAAGTGGGAAATGGCAGGATACATTTTCACCATCACATGCATTTCTTCTGCAACTTCTGTCTTCCCAGCTGTCTTGGAATTTGGGAAAGGATCTAAATGCTGGCTAGTTTAAAGGAGCAGGCTAGTGCTGGTCTTCTTTTTGGCTGTGGTTTGCTGAGGGCTCTGCAAACACAGAAGTACTTGCTGTTATCAACGTAAATGCCCACAGGAGATCCCACCCTGGTGAGTTCTGTAAGAACAGCAAGGACTTGGGCAAACCAAGCCATGGTTCTTTAGATGTCAACTGAAGTAGCATCACTCTGTCCTGGGTAATCCTGTTAAGGAAGGACTTGCTGGACTGATGTATGCAACCACAAAAAGGTCCTGCACCTCTGACAGTAGACATGGCTCCTTGCCTGGGAGAGGGGAGGTATTGAGAAACAGGCAAAACTGGGAAGTTCTTTGGATCCAAATGCTTCACACTTCCTCCTGGGAAGTCCAAGTATTAAATAGGGCATTGTAGGAGCTTAGTCATGAACGAGAGCTCTGTGCAGAAGGCAATGTGACCTTCTCAGCAGTCCTTGTATGCAGTGTTTAGAGGAAGTAGAAATTTATTCCCATTCTTGGGAATAAACATGATCTGAGCAGACAGCTTATGTTTCCCCCCACCCTCCCACTCCCAGAACTGTTAAGTGTTTTGGATGTAGCACCATTTCAGGGAAGGAAGTAGTTGGTATTGCCTTCTTGTTCCCCACTAGCCATAGATCTGTTTGAACTGGTAGCATTCATTGCAGTAGCCGTTGCACTTGGCATTGCCATAGTGATCACAGGCAGGGGCTCGGCAGCGTTGCTTGGGAGGCTCCTGTGCCACTGGCTCCCTGGCACTCCCTGACGGTGGCAGCTGACCAAGGCGCCGGCACTCCGGGCACAGGTCATCACTTCTGCAGGCCAGGTTGTTTCTACACGAAGCCACAGCACACTGTCTCTTCTGGGCACTCAGTGCTGCTCGCTGCGCATCTCTGTGCTGCCCTGTTCTCTTGAGAAATATTAAAACGCAATGTCAGTTGCTGTGCTGGCAGCACAAATGGCTTTTCATTTCCTTTTTGCTCTGCTTGTGGTTTGTATAGGTAACCAACTGGGGACTGTTCACAGGTACTTCTACAAAGTGCAGTACCAAGAGCCAAGTTGAGCTTTACCAAAGAAAATCACAAATTCTGTCATTTCTTAGGAAAAAATACTGGCTTTTTTATCTTTGGCAACCCTCAATTCTAAAAGGACCAGAACAAACCAAATTTAGAAAAGCCTTATCTGGAACAAACACAATCTGTGATGGACTCAATCAAAAATGCAACTGGAACCGTTTTACACAGCTGCACAGCTCTAAGGATAAGAATGAAAATCCTTCCCCAATCAATAAAAGAACCTAGCTGTTGGTCCAATTGCTTCCACTGGAATAGCTGTCAAAATCCCAGTAGAGATAAAACTCAGCATGGCCATGACAACCCTAAACTGAAAATGACTTTTTATGAGCACTGCTCAACTGCAGCAGAAAAAACTCATGATACGCTCTATGCTTGTCTTTCCATGATAGTTAAGATGCAGCCATTTGAGGATCCATTTTCTAGTATGGATCCCAAGTTGTTCCCACAAGAGAAAAACATGCAGCGCTAAACAAGAGGAAGATTTTGAGAAGTTCATACTTACTTCTGGCTGTCTCACCAGCTGTTCTTCTGTCCTTCTGGCTTCTTGGAATCGCTGGTTCTGGGCTATAATGAAGCAGTTCTGGCAGTAGCCCTCAAGCATTGTGCTGCCCAGCGTGCCGCAGTCGCGCCGCTGGCAGGACACCGTGTTACGGAAGCCGGCAGCGGAGCTCCCCGTCTGGTCTGCTGCTGAAGACTTCCTCTGAGATCTCCTCTGGTGCCGTAGCAAAACACTGTCTGTAAAGCAAAGCACGAATAGGAGCAGTTTGAATGTGTCCAATAGATCTGATGACCCAAGACAGCTAAAAAATGCTCCCCATCCTAAAAATGAAAATAAATTAAAAATATCAGCTAGCCTCGAACATAGGTTTTTGACAATCCTAAGACTCCCCCAGTTGGTACCTCTTTCTTCATGTTGGATACATAAGTGTGCTAATGCAGCCTGATTTTCATATAAGTTGTTGAAACCGTGGATTTGGGAAAAACTTGCCCTAAGTGGGAAACCTAGATCACACTGAAGTCAAGACAAATTTCACCTTTGACTTTGCTTTGACTGTCATCTGTGACCTACCCATTTCAGCCTCCCCCATTTCAGTCACATCAGACAACTGAAGTACATTGGTACAGAGCTTAAGGGGAAAAAATGCATTATACTTTTTAGTCTCATGAAGCAATCTTATATATTCCACAATCAGAAGGAAAAAAAATTTCATTGTGAGCAATGCTGGAAAATAAGGTATTGCAAGCTGGCACAGAAGTTCCCTAATCTGAATGCATGTGGAAAGTTCAGTGTTGTGAAAGATGTCTCTCCCAACAGCAGGGGGGTTGAATTAGATGATCTTTAAAGGTCCCTTCCAACCCAGCCTATTCCATGTTTCTTTATGTGTATCAGCAAACTTAACAGCAATAAAATAGTCTGGAGAGATAAGTAATAATTCTCTCTTACATATATGCCTTTCAGGCTCTATACCTAAGGGCTCTTTACCTGTGAAACAGGGCAGTAGCATGAAAGATTGAAGATTTCATGCTGTGATTTATTCACAGATTATTGCCTTTTTGAAAGTCAGTCCTTAAACACATGTGAATGCACATGCAGGGTATTACCAAAGAAGATTTCAAGGTAGAGTATAACAACATGCTCTGAAGTTACTCCAAAATACAAGGTAATTACCAACAGTCAAATTCTACTTGCTCTGCTTGTCAAGACAACTACAGTGGTTACTCTAGAGCATTATACCTGTTACATCCAGAACAAATAAAGATCTATGGATTCTTCAAGGCTTTTTAAACACCTTGCTAACATAACTGATTTTCAGTACCTTCCATACATTTACAGTGTTTCCTTCACTGACCTCTACAACTTGTCTAGCTGTGAAGAAAATTCATACCAAACCATGACTGCAGTGGATAATGAGGAGGTATCAAAAGCCACCCCTTTTGAGTTGGTTTTGTTTCCATCAAAGCTGAAAGGAAGTTTTACAAGAGATTCCACAGATTTCTCACAATGTGCCCCTTTATGATATGCTGGTTTTGGCTGGGGTAAAGTTAATTTTCTTCATGGTGGCTGGTATGGGGCTGTGTTTTGGATTTGTGCTGAGCAGAATGTTGATAATATTGAGATATTTTTGTTATTGCTGAGCAGGGCTTACACAGAGCCAAGGACTTTTCTGCTTTTCGCACTGCCCTGCTGGCAAGGGTGCATGGGAGAAGACACAGCCTGAACACCTGCCTGCCCATGGCAAGCAATGAATTCTTTGTTTTGCTTTGCTTGTGTATGCAGTTTTTACTTTTCCTATTAAACTCTCTTTATCCCAACCCGTTAGTTCTCCAGCTTTTACAATTTCTATTTTCTACCTGAGCCCACTGGTAGGGAGTGAAATAGCGGCTGTCTGGGGCTTGGTTGCTGGCTGGGGTTAAACCACGAAAATGGGATAATAAAAGAAAGAAAATCACCTTCTCCTCACACTGTTTTTCATCACCCCCTGCCCTTTTACCACCCAGTACAAGCAGAACTTCACAGCTCAAGGAGGCTGATATGCAGCCGAAGTGTGTCAAAGCTCACTCCGTCTCCACTTACCATGGTTTTCCCTGTACTCAAAGAAACACAGTGTGCAAAAGCCCTCATTTTGTGATGTCCCAAAAAATTTGCAGCCAGGTTTCCTACAGAGGTTGCCTCCCCTGTTCTCTTTGGAAGGCAGTGCTGCTGGTGAGGGCTCCTTGCCATGGCTGTTGGGACCCTGATAGCAGGAGTGTTGGTGGAGAATCTGTGAGATCTGGGACGGGTCAGAGGTTGATCTCTGGTGGCAGGTGGGCAGGAAAGTGGGACTGCCATTTGGGGACTGCTCTGTAGACCTTTTGAAGCAAGTGCTGCATATACCATTGAAGGTCCTCTTGGCCTTTTGATGGCACATCTTACATGTGGCATAGTCTAAGTGTCTCTGGTCATCCAAGTTGTTGCAAGGACTGAGCTGCCTGGAGTTGTAGCAGCGTTCGCATAGCCCATTGTGTTGCACGTTCAATGTGAAGGGGCAGTCTGGGGTCCTGCACTTCATGGCTGTGGTTTCACTGTACAGGAAAAGGCTGGGAGCGGTCGGAGGTGCAGAGCGAGGCTCTGTTACAGGCCCTTCAGATGTCCATCCCCCAGGTTCACAAATATCCCCACGGGAGGAGCCTGACCCAGCTGCCTTCAGCTTCTCAGGTGCTGCTTTGGAGGTCTGCTTTCTTCCTTTGTTTCCTTGGGACCTCTGCTCAAAGCATTCGTGGCAGTAGGGCTGGGTGTTCACAGACATATAGAAAGGGCAATTTGGCGTTTCACATTTCATCTGTAAGAGGGAGAGCTGGGAAAGTGACAGATCCTGTCTGTTCCTGGAACATGTCTCTCTTCTAGCAGGTTCAGCATTCTCCTGCCACTTCTTGTACTCATGCTGTACCAGTTGAAAGTAATCTTCCACGAGGTTTATTTCTTTGGGTAGGTTGCCTTCATCTAACCTGACAGCCAAAAAAAGAAGATTGCATCAGTGGTTGAAAAGAGCAGATGGTGGGGGTGGAAGCAAATACAAGCAATGTGGGAAGGAAATGTAGATTTAATGCACATCCATATTACTCAGATAGAAGATCTGGGATGTTCCACTCTTGGTGTAAATGGAAATAGTTTTAAAAGCAGGTGTTCAGTGATGGAGACTTTCACATCTGAAATAAATGTCCTGACACAATGCTAAACAGAAATAGTCTTAAAAGTCTTTACTAAATGAGTGTTTTCTGTCTAGGAGCTGTTTGCACAAAGAATATGGGTAATCTCTCAGAAGCAGAAAGTCCCCCAAATTGTCAATTTCTCTGAGGATCAGTGCTCAACTGCGAAGAGGTAGGCTTTCTTCACGAACTCACACTAAGAACAAGCCCTTCATACAGTGGGCTCAGCATTTCATGACACAGTTTATCATGAAATCTGCTCCTGGTTCTGTTGGGTCTGTATCTACCAGCAGAATTCTTCTAATAAACACTGGGGCTTCAGTGTGGTGTGTGCAATGCTAGCACCTTTCATACCATCCTAACTCTGCCTGCAGCTGCAGGGAAAATCCTACACTGGAGTTTTACCATGCCACAGTTGGTAGGATGAGGAGCTAACATTTCTGGCAATACTCCGGAACACACCTAGGCAGAGCAACTAGGGAAGCTCAAGTGTTACCCTTTACGTGTGCATATATCCTTTGGGTAGAAGGACTTCAGTTTTCAAGGCCCCTACAGCAGAACCAGCAAACAGCATGAAGACTCCTTTACGAGTCATAGTGGAAGCACAGACAGAGGATACAGGGAGTTATTCCACCCCATCAGTTCTGAGGGGACTGGTTTGGCATCATTGCCAGTGTCCACTGAATATGAGAAGCTGATGGGTGTTGCCAGCTGCCCCCTGCATGTTACTGATGCTCAATCATCGGGGACCAGCAGAGATGCCAGTTCCTCCACTGGCCACAGCTTCCTGCCTGCTGCCACATGGAACAGCCCAGGGTGTGGAGGCATCTGTGTTCAGAACATACTGCCAAGTACTTTGCCCAGGGCAGCTGGAATTACACCAACTGCTCATTATGCAATGTGCCCTTACATAAAGCACAAGAGCTTGGGCAAACTAGTTCCTGCATTTAACCACCTCTCAGTCACCCTCCTGTGTAATCCAAAAGTCAGTGAAACTGATCAAATGGATCTTTTCTTCTAAAATGCTAGTTTCAGTTTGTTAAATCTGAACATATTTGCCTTTAAATTTGAGACTGGCCTTAGCTCATACTACTTGAAAATATATCAACAATAATGCCAATGTTTCATACTTCAGGTAGTAAACACATGGGCCACCTAGGAAGGAAGGAAAGACCAAAATGACACACTGGGCTGCCCAACTTTTCCCACCTCTGTAAATAGGATAACTTTGAGGAAACAGGAATGACACTCACTTTGCAGCATTAATTAGATGAGTTGTGCCATGATCCCAGCCTTGCACTGGAATTTCTATCACTATCAAGTAGTCTTTTAGCAGCTGCTCTTTCTCCCTCTCTTCTGCATCTGTCAGAAAGTGCACATTCAAATCCTCAAATCTGCCTTGCTCACTGGTGACCAGAGGGACAGCCCGGATTTCTGTGGGGAAACAAGATAGAATAACACATATATATATATATATATATACACGTGTCTGTGTATATGTATATTTACACAAACATAACCAGACAGTTAGGAATAACCATAAAATGCAACACATGGAAATACCACCACTAAATTTTTGAGAGAGAGGAGAACAGCTGGGCAGAGCAAGGAGTTTCTGCATGGTACCACTGGGGGAGGTTGCAAACACAGCTACATCACAAACTTAGCCCCATCACACAGTAGTCTTAATGTTCTCATAGCAAGTATCTTCTCCACCTGAACAGGATTGTAGATCTTTGTTTGTTATGCCTTTTGGTGGGATGATGCTGTAACCTGAACCTAGGTAACTGCTGTCCACTCAGAAGAGGTGCATTAAAAATGGTAAAGCATGTATTTCATTATTGCCAGGCAGTGGTATTCTGCTGGGAGACTGCATCCTTCAAAGCTTCTTCTCTTACAATGTGGAGAGGAGGCCAGAACATAATAAAGCAGAGGTAACCCTTTGACCAATTCCAGCCTGCAAGCAGGTGAGTTGCACTCTACTTTCAATGAGTATCTTGAAGGTAACCTTTAGTTTCTACTCAGATTCACAGACAAAGTTCTTTCTGCTCACATTTTAGGAATATATTTCAAATTAATCTTATTTAACTTTAAAAATACAAGTCTAAACCAGATAATATTTCAAATGCTTTATCAGCAGAGTGGTTTTGAAGAAGTAACATAAATACCAAATGAGGTACTTGAAAAATACCTGGCCCGCCATCCTTCAGAGTCACCAGTGGTGTAAAATGCATGTTGTCATAGCCAAGCACAATCGGGTATCTGTAGCATTTTTCAACTGGCCACAGAAGAGGCAAGTAAACACCACCAACATTCAGAGGAGCAAAACTGGAGCCTGACTCTAAGCTTCTTACCACTTTATCTGCAGAAAGAAGTAAAAGAAAACACAAGTAAGTATGTGCTACAGGCAAGAAAAAATGTATCCTGGGGGTTTTATAATTGCTGAAAACACCGTGTTCTGAAATGTATCTACCTGAAAACAACAATTGTTGACTAAGATTACTAACACAGCACAAGGGTAAAACAGTGGGATGACTGACCAGAATACTCACCTGCAAGAACAATGATTGGCCTTCTAAGGATGTTAGCAAGGATGAAGATGTGGATTTCTTCCAGCGCATTATAGGGAAGCCTATTTCGAGCCCCAGATATTTCTGGGGAGGTCATTTCAATGAGGTATTCCCACTCCTCCTCCCAGTTCTGAGGAAAGAAACAGCTGTCACCCATGGTTCAAAGACACGGAGGTCAGGAACCAGCTGCAGCACAGCAGTGCTCCAATAATCACATTTTCCCATTTCCTCCAAAGGAAGACTATTTCTGCTCTCCATTAATGACAGAATCCGTGAAGCCACAAAGCAAACAGAATCAGCAAGGCCACGCCGGCGAGCACTCAGAAAACAGCACCACTCCCTCAGGCTGCCTTACCCGGGTGTCATAATGGAGTCCCGTTTCTACAAACTCCTGGGATTTAACAGCCTCTCGCTGCCAGCGGAGCTTCAAGTTCCGTGTGTCAATCTCCCTGAGAGCACTAAACAGTGTTTTTCTTAAGACAAGGTCGATATCTTCAATACCCCACATGTACTGCGATGCAGCATGCATAAGGCAATTTCCATCACCTGGAAAAAAAAGACAGAGTGCATTATTTTCAAACGGCTACTTAAATAAAATGCCACAAGCCTGTGGGACGTAGAATTACACCACACATATGCATATTCCCTGTGCACTTCTCTCTAAGTCTCAGACAGAAGGGTTGTAGAGAAGAAGACCTGAGTTATGGTCTCTTTTCAGCGACAGAAAAAACAAAACCTTCCCTCCCTACTGGTTTTGTCTCTGTACCAGTCCAAGTTAAGCTGTCATCCAGCAATGCTCCTTACCTGTCTTACTTAACTTTGACTGATATCACAAGCTAAATTTTGGGGTCAACTACAAATGTCAAACATAGCTGAAATAGCTTTTTAAACACAACAACGTCATCTTGAAATTACAAAAAAAGATGTAAATTTCCCTCATTGGTGTTTATACAAATATACACCCAATGGCATGAGGTTGAGATAATGGAAACCATTAAGAAAATATTATAGCAACACCAAACCTCACATCCTCTGATGAGCACTGCTTGGCACTTTGCTGTGCTTGATGGAGGAATTATCATAAAAAAGGAGACAGAAAGGGAATGGTAGATGATTTATATAAAGCAATCATAGGAACACCTCTGGCCTTCCTCTCAGAAATAATGGCATTTTGGGTTGTTGCATATATTATTTAGAGGGCTGATTTTAAAACACAAAATTAAACCTAAGTCAATGAAAAACTGATTCAATTTTAATTTATACAATCTCCTTGCATTGAAAAATTCCTCTTTACAGATAGGAAGGATTGTGATAGTCTGCAGTTTCAGAGAGGAAACAGACTCAGAGGAGATAACTAACTTAATTAAAAGGTGTGACAAGAAATACATCTATGTCTGGGTTTCAAATTCTATCTCTAGCTATCTTCTTCAAAAGGGGATGTCTCCCCTGAAAGGGAGACATCAAGAATCATTACTGTCATGTCCTCAGATGCAAAACTAGGTCTGATGCCTACCACAGTGGTAAACAGATTCACATAATGCTAAGAAACGACAGAAATTTTCTTGGAAAAGAAGACATCAACCCCGGTAAAGCTACTAGGTTTTTCTCACCTGAAAAAAACCCAAACAAACCCACCCAACGAACTCCCACAAAAGAATTAAACCCAGTTTGCCACATACATGATGAGCTCAATAACACATTTGTGAACACTTTTGCTACTTATTCTGTGAAATTGTAGAGAAGAGCCTACAACAGACTCTAGTTCCCAAATAAGATATCATTTGAAATCTACTCAATGCTTCATAAATTGTTACAGGATTGGTGCATATCAGTTTCTGCAACTGCCTTTTGTTTTCTGAATGCTGTCTTGCAAAGCTTACTTCAACTCAGCAGGCTGCTTACTTGAGCTCAAAAATCAGGGAACAGCCAAGACGACAGAAAAACTGACTGTGTTTCCTTCTGACCAAGAAAGATGACATATTAATCCCATTAAAATTTTCCCTCTGCAAAATCTAGAGCAAAGATAAGACTAAATTTTTTCTCTCTCTGAGAGCTCACTTTCGGTTCTTTATTTAGAAGCACTGCCCAAAATTCCTTACACAGCACTTGGAATTCCCCCACACCGTTTGACTAGCAATTGAGCAACAGTTGTACTTTTTGTTCTGCGGGTGCAGCGTGGCCTCCCTCGGACTTTCCCAGGGGGTGTGGCTGGGCGAGCTGGAATGAATGCCAATTCATTATACAAGTGAAATCTCAAAAAAAAAAAAAAACTAAAATTTTCAAATAAAAAAAAAAAAAAAAAAAAAAAAGAAGAAAAAACCCTAACAGTTTCGATTTTTGTACCTCCTACCACTTTCCTTCTGTCTCCATTCAGATGTCTGCAAAAATATATGTGGTGATTCAAAATGGCTTTTTTAATTAAGAAAACCTCACCAATCCACAGATTCACAAACATATTAGATAGAATATACATCAAAAGATCCTGTAGGAGATACTTTCTCTGTTTTCAACAGCTACAACCTTAATCAGAAAAAAACCCAGAATTTTATGAAGAAAGTCCATTGTTAACCAAGAGAACTAACATATTCCTCCCATATCTACAGGTTAAGCAGCTAAATGTTTAAAAAATATTTTTTATGCCACATGGGAGAAAAAAAAGTTGCTTTATGGGATAATACAGGGCTTCTCCAAACTTCTGCACTTCTTTCAGAGATCCTCTCCTACAGTCCAATCTACCTTCTTTCTCCTACAAAGGTCCTTCTATGCAACTACTTTGCATAACCCACAAGTTTCCAAAGCCACTCCTACTCCTGCACTTAATGACCCTGAAGCACTGAACTGAAGCCAAGTTCTTTGTCTGCTCAGTGTATGGGGAGACCACAAATCTTGCTTTGCCTTCCCTCAACCTGCCTTAATATTTCAGCACCTCGCATACAGGTATGCCTGCTCATGGGTGGGATCCAAGTCCACTACTCCCACATGTTACACTAGCCAATGGACAAGAGACAAAGGAGGTCAGTGTTGCTGAATGTAATGTAGTTGCCAACAAGGGTCTGTCCAGTGTTACCCCTGCAGGATTTGCATTGACCGGAGACGGGGGATTCTAAAACTGTTACTCTTTGCCCTGGACAAAAACTGTGTACATTGTCCATTTTCCTAGAAAATCTGTTTGAGTGAGATTTTTAAGATCCAACACTTGAAGTGATGTTACCTTCCCAGTACGTGCAAAGCACTGCCTGCCCTGGCTGCGACTCCTGTCCTTCCAAAGCTCAGGATTCCGTGACTTCTGTGCACATGCTAATTGCAGTCATGAGAATTTTACACTAATGCGAAGGCAGCCCAAAAAGCCCACCAGAAGGTCAGTGCCTCTACAACAGTTACAGACATACACATCAGCATCAGGTTTTAGGTTGGGTAGTGACATCTGCTCAATAGGTCTATTTTTATGGCTTCTGTACAACACAGCTGTGTACAGACTGAGAAATATGGCAGAACTTGGAAAGGAAAAAAATGTGGACTAGGAAGATAAGGGCAACGTGTACACAAGCAGATATGAAAATAAGCACACCCAGAACACAACATGGACTTTAACAATGCTGCAGGTCCACCCCACCTAGTGTTTCTATAACTGCTGTGATCTGCTCTTTGAGCAAAGAGTATGTATTTTTCATCTTCTTGAAGTCCTCACTGTCCTAGTCTGTGGTTCCTGGTTAGGGGCAACCTGTGCTGTAAGGACTCCTGAGTCCAAGTTTGCAGCTATGTGACTGTAAGTCATAGCCATTACCTAATCTTTCCTCCACTGAATGTAAAATGCCTGGTGACTCTTACAGTCATGTGCCACGGTTTCCTGCTCAAGACTGTGGACAAACATAACCTGTTCAGGAAATCTTGGCACTACTGGTGTGTCTTTTCATTTGTAGCACTTAATGCAATATACACACAGAGTAACCCAAAAGTCAAGTCCTGAAACCAGCACTGACTGTTGAAAGAACTGACCCCAGGGACAGCAGTGTCAGGTTCCTGGGAGGCTCCATGTTCTGAGTGCTATTGCCGTCACTGTTGTTAAAGCTGGATCAGCAAGCAAGCATTGCCTGCCAGCTACAACAGAAGAGCTTATTGGAAGGATATTAGCTTCTGCTAAATATATATGGAAATGCATCTCTGGTCACTCAAAGCATCTGCAGGTTCCTCTTGCCTGGCATTAAAAGACGCCTGGCACTTCCGATGAGGCAGCCGACATGTAGCAATCAGATTCATGGGAAGCCACTAGATTCCAAATCAGGTTTCCCTGCCTTGTTCTTGACTCTGAAGTGCCACAGGTTGCTGAGATTTTGAAAATACCTGTGAAATTTCCACAATATTCACATACTGTGGTATAGCAAGGGTCTGCTACAGCCTCAGGACAGCACATCATGTGGAAAGAATTTTAATTTCAAAACAGATTGAAAGGCATCACATTTTTAAAGCCATGTGCTTCTGTTTCAGTAATGTGAACTCAGATGCTATTAATAAAGGTGCTACATTTGTATGACCTGTTTTACTGTGAGTGCAAAGACCTGCTCATAACTTACCATTAGTCTTCAAAGGAACAAGTCTCCGAACTTCCCTGCACCAGTTGAGCTTCCTGTGGCGCTCCAGTGAAGTCTGGGTAGCCTGGTCAGTCAGGGACTTCTGAAGCGTCTCCCGAAACTGGGGACAAAACTGGCACATTCTGAACATTTCTATTGTGTATCTGTGCATAGTCCTGAAGTGATGAATTATTCCACTGGGAGGTTTGATTAGGTCCTCAGGTAGCCTCTCTCTGATCTTCATAGCCTTCAGCATATTGCTCTGATATAAAGCTTGAGGAAGGATGTGTTGGCCAGCCATGTTTCTAGAAGATATCTGAAATGAAAAAGGATCCTTTTATTGGCATGTTAGTGCCCTTCTATCACTGTGCTATCATTTGTGCAGTGACTGAGAAGGCACTTTCAGGGTGGGATGCTTGATGAAGTTTTGCCTAAAACAAGTATAGAGTGGATGCAGCCTTTCATAAATAACTTTTTTTTTTAAAGCTCATATTCACTAACTTTTCTGCATTATTCAGATACAGACACTGATCAGCTTATCCCACTAATTTGCTGATATAATTTACTGTGATATTGAAGAGGATTTATGCATAACTAAGGAAATTGCATCATCATTCAAAAAAAGCAATTAAATAAAAATAAGGATAAGAGAAGACAAGATTGAAGGAAGGGAAAATTATCCTGGAAACTTAACTAATTGATAATTGTACACTGTAATCCCATATGCACTTGCTAAATTTCAGGACATTTCAAGCTCTTGTTTTGATAACATGCCAAAAAAAAAAAAAAAGCAGTTAAAGACCATTTCAGATTCCACAGCTCATACATTCTGAGTAGTGATGGTCAGTAGAGTACAGAAAAAGCACAAATAATTGCAGGCTGTGCTAGTATCAGTCTCATACTTACAGTGGCCAGATATGGTAGATGAGGAATTTGTCACTCGAGGACAGGCTTAGGTTACTTTTCTTGAGGCTCTTTTTATTTTGTAAGTGGTAGAGCTATGGCTCAGAAGTGCTTATGCTGGTGTGTGGGGGTGCAGTGCCACTATTACTCAGTGGTAAGTCAACAGAGCATTTCCATTTGGCTCAAAACCCCCTATATATTTCCACAGTAGGACATGTAATGTTTGCTGCTCTGCATCCCTTTCTTCAGTAACTCTGGCCTCATGGGGTATAGCAGGAAAAACAAAAAAAGAAACCCATAACATCTCAAACTTGCTACACTCAAAGAAATCCTTACTTGAGGACACTAACTTTGTGGCTAGTTAGAGCCAAACGTACAGACCACATCCCTCAAAACCCCTGTCCACTACAGTAAGAACAAAAATAACAACAATAACCTGTTTTTACAGGGAGAGACTCTCCATGCTGTCCACAAACATTCTTGCTTTGTTTAAAAGCAAAGCAAAGTTTGTGTCAAGACAAATAAAAGTATGCATGCTTAAAATATTTAGAGTACAACTAGTCATATTAAGAGAATCCGCCACTGTGATTATGAATCTAAGGACAAGTATCAAGTCATATATATGTGTATCAATCTCTGGACATCAAGTACAGGGATACAAGAAACAACCAAAAATTGTTTATGCCACTATTAGGACGTTTTCTCATGGAGACTGGAGTCACGGAGAGAGGAAGAAGCCTGACAAGACTGACCAGGAAGGCATTCCCACGTCTATGGAGGCAGAAGACCCCTCTTGCACAGAAGGGCTTCAGGACCTCCTTCCCCACAGGTAAACAGCTGCTCTCTCCTCTTCACCCAGACACCTCCATTGGCAACATCCACCTCCAAATGCCCAGCCAAAGCTTTTGAAAAGACCCTCTCAGGGTGAGAGGGGACCTCAAACTCCAGGTGCCAAGAGCTGAGCTCTATAACCTCTCTGAGAACCAGCTGCTGGAGAGATACAGGATAACACGACAAGCTCTAGAGGCAGATGAAACAGGTGATGCTACAAAGCCCAACTTTAGGGTGATGTCATTCACATGCCCTACGAACACTAGGGACCGTGTGCAGAGCTGTCACATCTTGCAACATATGGAAAAGCTTTTCTTTAGGTAATAAAGATGGCATATTCTTATCATTCCCCCATCAGCACACAGCCTTAAAATGAAAATTGTGTATTTTCTCATCCACTTTCCTCATAAATATAGTTTTACACATGCTATTTATGTAATCCTGTATTTAAATGTATGAATGTGTCTAAAAAGGAAATATAAACAACTCCTTACTAAACTGTGTAATAACCCAGCTCTACTTTGCTCTGAGACGACTAAAATATTGAATTCCTTACTTATGTTAGTAGAAATATTGAGTCAATGGGATTTTTTTTACACTAATAAAGACTAATCACATGACTAAGCACTACCGGCATCACCTCTTGAAATGGTTATTTCCAGCATTAAGTAACAAAAAACACTGAGTTTACAGAAGCAGTCACTGAAACTACATTATTCGATACTATGTTCTACTAGCATTTTTTCCCCTCCACACGTGGAAATTACTGCCTGTGCTATTTACAGTAATAAATGTGAACAAAGGCAAAAGCCAAGCAACACTTATTTTCAAATCAATGTGATGAAACAAACAGAATTCAACTGACATCTAAGCTGGAGATTTAAAAGTAAAAAACTAACCTACAGTTTTATTAGTTTATAGTCTACTGTGCTTTGCTGTGTGCTATGCTACTTTAACCTTCTCACAAGTAATGACTAGGAATTCCCAGAAAGGAACAGCTGTAAACAATAATTAGAGACAGCATCCTTTCCAAAGGTGTAATGCTGAGGATGCTGGGCTCTGGAAAGAGGAATACTGTTCTGAGATCTGCCGATGGTTTCATAAATTATTTTCATTTTCTGTCCTCTATCTGAAAAACGGCAAGTAATAAACTTCTCCATAAAGTGCTACAAGTGCCTGTGCCTTTGCTCGGCACAAACCAAAACACAGTACTACTCTTTGCCAAATCGGAAGGCGAGGAGCGAGGCTCTTTTAAAGATCCCACAGCACTGGTTTACACGCAGTAAGTGTTCCGCGTTCTTGGTTCCCTGACCTACAACTCCGCTGGGGGCTGGGCGTGCAAGGCGGCACGGCCACGACACGGTGCATCTCCCAGGAGAAGGAGCCCGGAGCTCCGGGGCGGATTTCCCCGCGGCACCGCAGCACGCTCGGCCGCGCCGTGCCCGCTCTGCGCGCCGGGCCGGGCACGGCGGGCACAGCGTCCCCGCCCGCGCCGGACCCGCCTGGTCCCCGAGGCGCCCTCCTGCAGAAGCGCTCCGGGCTCCGCCGTGCCCTGCCCAGAGCGGCGCTCACCTCTCCGCGGACGGCTCCTCCTCCGGCCGATCCTGCCGCGACTCCTCTCAGCAGCGAGGCTGAGGCGGTGGGACGCAGCCGCGCCCGGAATCCATCAATCCCCACCGCGCCGGAGCTCCTTCTTGCCCTTCTCTCCACCCTCTTCCCGCCGGAGCTGCTGCTGCCGCTGCCGCCGCTGCGGAATGAAGGGCTGAGCCCAGCCTCTTGTTTTTTTCCCTTTCTGTTTAAGCGCCTGGGTGAAAAAAAAAAAAAAAAAAGGCAAGCAGATTGAAAACACAACACAAAAAACCCCCACCGGGGATTTCCACCGGCAGAGCACAGGGACTTTCCGGCCTGTGACAACACCCGCGGCCGCCGCCGCCAGGGGGCGCCGCCGCCGGGCAGTCCCGGCGCCTCCCCGCCCGCCGTGACTCACCCCCGGGATTTTCGGGAGCCGGGATGCCGTGTCTTCCTTCCTTTTTCCTTTCCTCCCGGGCAGGGGCTTGCCCATCCCGTCCCGCAGGCTTCGCTCCGCTCACGGGCCGGCCCGGTGTCGCGTCGCTGGGTCCGAACAGCTCCTTGTCGCCGCGCAGAGCGGCGCCCCGGCGGTGCCCCGCAGCCCTTCCGCTCACGGGCACGCGTGGCAGCGCCTGCCCCAGCACGGACGGAGCTGTGGGGTGCGGGTGCTCGGGTGTAGCTGCCCGCATCCCTGCCCCAGCATTCCAGCAGCACGTTAAGGGGGCCCGTCCCATGGAAAGTATTGTTCTTCCAGACGGTTTTCAGGCCCAAGCAAGTTTTTTTTTTTTTGTTTGTTTGTTTTTTTTTTTAGCTTGTATGTGCTCCACCGTTTTGGCTCTGTATTGTACGTAACCACAAGTGACTTCATTTCTTCAATTAGAGGTTAGGCCGATATAGAACCCCATAGTCCCAATCTGCTGGTATTTTCGGCAGGAGATGTTAATTGTGTTTTAATTTGGCCCTGCTCAAGGTCAGATTGTTGTAGGTAAAGACCAGAACCTTGGGCTAAAACTATCAAGTTGGGGAGATCTTAAGTGTCTGAATATGATTGTAATTTCTTGACTGCAACTAGTAATTTATAGGAATCATTAAAATTAATTATTGTAAACAATGCACACCTTTAAACAATGTGCTAATATTGTGAAATATTAGCAGTGAAAAAACCTCACTAAACAAACCCCCCATATTTAAGGCCTGTTAATATGATTTATGGATGGGATGTATGCTGGAAAAGGGGCAGTTTCTAGCTCAACAGCCTTACAATCTGAAGGCACACAGAAATGAAATACAGTTTCTTGCAGGATTAAAACACTTCATCTTCCCAGATAATGAGCTCTTGCCTGTTCCTGAGTATCCACCTCTCCCAGTGGCAAGATGAGAAGCCAGGGTTGCTGCACACCTTGAAATCAGGTGTTAAATATAGACTCCTCAGAGAACAGGTGGATTTTGGAAGAGTTCAGCTTTGAACTCCTTCACCTCACTCCCAGTAGCAGCAGCTGGCTCAGATCATTTGCTCATGTCACACAACAGGCTTATGTGGCAACATGATCTTTCCCAGGGTTTACAGGCCTGTGCTGGCTCTGCACAGCAGCCCATCCTTCTCCTCTGCCTTTGTTCAAAAAGAAGTCAGGGATATGGCCAGGAAAAGAATAATCCCTTCCAGGTTTCTTTTCCTCCTCTCCTCGGATAATTTTCTTTTAAAGGTTTTTGTGGGTGTGTTATTTTTTCTTTTTGTTCCCCTAGCCTCTCTATTGTCTTGGAAAGTATAGTTGGGTAGGAAGGCTCCACATTTAATGATTGATAACCTGAAGGGTGGCTAAAATCCAGGGAACTGGATGCCTGAGGGAACTGGGCTTGTATAACTAGGGCAGCATCTCTGCTGTGATTTATACAGTATATATTTCTGTCAGCATCTTACCGGTTCCCTTCTCCTGGACATTTTCCCCTGCTCTCTCATTGGGACTGAGGTAGCAGATTACTGAAGTCATCTGATTAGAGGAAAAAGAAAATGTTTCTATCAAAACATTTCTCTCACATAATATGAAGCCCAGCCCCCGACAGAGTTTTACAGAGAGTACTTCAAATGATGGAGGGCTTCACTGTTGAGTAGGAATGATGAGCTAAGGTAGGGAGTAGGGAAAAAAGAGCTGAGTTGTACCCTGCTTTGTATAGGAAGCTGCAGCAAATAAATTAACAAGTAGACCTAGCCATGATGGAGATGCTGAGACTCAGGAAAACCTGAAAAGGCAACAGCTTATTTTTGGTTTCTAAATGGTAAGCGTGTCTGAATATTAATAATTACTGTTTACACCTTGATAAACTCAAAGTTGATTGCACATTGCTAGAGCAGATGTTTATCAAACAGGTCTGAGCAGGATGGCAGGAATTCATTTGATCTGAGTTTGCACAGCACAAAATAAAGTTCTGTCTTGTCAACCATAACTCCTCAGCAATATAGGAATACATTAGAAACATCAGCAACATCAGTAGTTATAGAATGCATGAATATACATTCCTCTTTTCTGAATGACTCCTGGGTTTTGTTTTTTTTGTAGCTGTACCCTATAGTTTATCTCATAATTTATAGTAAAATGTTTATCTTTCATTAGATATAAACATAGAGACAGATGTATAAAGTCAAGGAAAATTTTCTTCTTTAAAGTGCGTATGTAAATACGCACATATACATACACATAACTATGTACATATGCACATATATTTTTAGGTATATATGCATGTCTGTTTCTCTTGAGGGAAGAGGGAAGTTCTTGGTATTAAGGACAGAATAAGAAATACTTTCATTTTCAGCTATCTACATTCTGGTTAAGCATAAGGGTGAAACAGTCCACCCTTGTAAGTGGTAATGTTTACATAACCCTGGAGAAAGCTGTCACTGGGAATTGCAGAATATCCATTTTTTGTGAAAATTTAAGTAATCAGTTTCATGCACATAAATCAATAACAATTCTTTATTGTACTTGGGAAAAAAAAGAAATCTCTTAAGGCCCCATTCAGCTCTGTATCTCTAAATTATTTTAATTACTTTGCTTCTTTTTACTGTTCAGGAAGGAGTAGTTCCCACTCACTAAATTAAACCAAGACCTCAGAGTGTTCAGAACACCATTGCCAAATGTTTGAGAGGCTGCACTAAGAAAGACTCATAGTTAAGATAGTACTCATATAATATTCAATGCTAGGATGATGACTATAGTAATATTTATGCATAGTGACATACAGACTTTTAATAATTCAATCATTTGCTGTGTCTTTTAATATCAGATAATTCTGTATGAGGTGTGATTCATCTAGAAGGGAGGAAAAGGATCATTAAAGGGAAATCCCTTTTAATGCAAGAGCAGTGCTTGAGGTCATGCTTGAGTTCAGCACTTCTGTCTTCCAGGAGCTGTTCCGTTGCTTCTTTTCCTGGTGGAGAAGTGATAAGAGCTTGTCAGTGCAAAGGAAAGAGAGGGGGGAATATCCCCTAAACATTTATCAGACAGAAAGATGGTGCTTATTACTGAATCAAGTATTGACGGTAAAAAAAACAAACAAACAGAACCAAAAAACCCCAAATCATGTCTGCCACTTAGATAGCAAGAGCTGAACTGGTTTTGGGATTTTTTCCATTACACTCATCTGAATCCAGTAAAAGAAACTACAGATTCCAGAGAAGAGGTTTACCAGGGTATTCTGGCAAGTGACTGTACTGGAACTAGGGATTCTTATTTATGGCCCAGGGGGCCAAAGCTTCCTTTGCTTTTTTTTTTTTTTTTCCCTTTTTGTTGTGTGTGTGCTTATTTTCCCCTTCTTTTTAATATTTGTGAGAGAAGTGTCAGAAGTAAAGGTCTGGAACTGCAGTGGGTTCAAAGAAGCTGAAAGTTCAAATCTTGCCTTAGCCCCTTTTGTTAACCTGAAGGTTAAGCTGTAAGCGTGGTATTCCCCCATTAAGGCTGGTGAAGCACTGTGAAAAATGAGCTATGGAGGCAAGCACTAGACATTTTTAAGAACAGGTTTTTTTACCTGTAAGGGGATTAAGTATGGCATTAACCACACTTAACCGTATGCTTACCTCCTGGTCTGTAAATAAGTTTCAGCAATGTTGTCTGTGAAGTGCATAAAAAAGTTTAAGCGATTATGATCTTTGTAACTTGTTTTTTATTCCTCTGATATCTGTAGATACTGCAGCAACTCTCAGGGCCCCTAAAAACTGCAGACATAGCTATGTATAGTTGCATTAGAGACAGCAGCACAGTCCAGCGTTACTGACCCTCTTCAGTGCACAGTACAGACAATTCCAACAAGGCGCCAGCAAGAAATAAGAGGAAGACCAATATTATTTCTGTTTTGGAGAGCAAAGTGATTTCAGTAGATTTTGATGCAGACTCAGACTAGACATGTGGCTAAACTGAATATGTACAGCAGTAGTAAGCCAAATCAAAGGTCCATTGACCTCACTGCCTTGTTTCTCACAGAGGTTGAGAAACTGTCCAGGAAAGAGCATGGAAATAGGCTGGATTGTTCCCAATACTTTTCCATCCTGTGCTTTGTCACAGTTTCTTGTGGGATTTCTTGTGGCTTACATTCTGGTACCTCAGTTTCTGAGTGGTATGGTAAGTTTGTGAATGTTTCTTTTCTCACACTTTTCTGTTATCATGCATATTTAACTTTGACTACAGACTCTTTAGAATAGATTGTTTATTTGTGTTGTGTTTGCTGTACTTTAACACCTAGACACATGGTTATTTACCATGCAGTGTGGTCTCTGCTTCCAGAGAGTCACCATCCATGTGTAGCAGACTTCATTTAACTGTGAACTACTACTGTCACAATAGTCTTTGATTTAGGTTGAGGGTTGTAAGCATAAAGCACTGCATAGATAGCACTGCACAGGGATGTCTTTGCTTTCCAAAACTGCCTTAATGCATAGTGCAGTGGCTGGGTTTAGGTAGTACAAGCCCAATCATTGCAGCTTTTAACTTGATCTTTAGGTTGGCATGACTGGTGTGCTGCCAAAATGTCAGCCCACATCATGGGAGGGGACTCTAAAGCAGAGTCTGCTTCTGGAGCTGTTTGCTTCAGCCATCACTTCAGCATTCATGAGTCAGCAAGTGGTTAACAAATAAATAGCTAAAGATAATGCCTCATGTGAAATCAAGCAGGGACTACTGTTATTTTCCTTTCTATATTCCTATCTGATGAGATGATCAGCTATTCTAACTTTAGGTATGAAGTAAGCATTTAGCACAAAGCTATATCCACTGGGAGTGGATGGGAAGGAATGCAGCTAGCAAATACTTGCTTACTTAATTAAAACTCTTACTCCTCTCTCCTCTGTTCCTCGAAAAATTTCAACTTCT